AAAAGTTAAGTAATAGTTATGGTTACTCAGCTTATGGCATATATTAGAAAATTTATCCAAAGAGAACATTATATCTGGAACGATTCTAATAAATTCTAATAGAGCTGAAATGATAATAGAGCTATCTATGTTAGGGTAGTCAGTAGATAAGGAATACCAGAGTACTTCCAATCTATATTCGAAATAATATCTATAAATTTCAATTTTCTGCATAGATCTATGTAAATTATATATCCAATGCTCAATTTTCAAAATCAAACCAATTGTGGAACATATTATAATGATATATGTGTTTGGTTTGTCCATTGCAGATTATGATGACAATATAAGCAATAGCACATCATCGATAAGCGCATCACAGACGGCTGCGGAGCGTCAGAGTTCTGCTGTATCAGCGGCGACAGCTGCTGCCGCTGCCGTTAGCCAGAAGATAGCGAATGCAGTTGGAGGCGGGGGCGGTGGTAATGGATCTGGCTCAGCATCCTCCGGGTCAAGTGGCAAGAATAGCAGCAGCCAGCATGGCAAGCATGGCGCCGGCAGCAGCAGCGGCGGTAGCGGCAGTGGCAGCGGCAGCGGCAGCAGCGGTGCCAACAATGCCGGCAGCAAACATCATGGTAAGAATGATGCAGCTGCATCTGCGGGTGGCGCAGATGCCGCCGCGTCAAACACCAAAAAGGATGAGAATGGTGCAAAGGTGCATGATGAAAAACGGCGGCATATAAAAAGCATTATTGACAGGATACCCACACAAAAGGAGGAACTATTTAATTATAAGCTTGACCGCAACGAGATTGACAGCGGTCTAATGGAACGCAAAATACGTCCATGGATCAATAAGAAAATCATCGAATATATCGGTGAGCCGGAGCCAACGTTAGTGGACTTTATATGTTCCAAAGTATTGGCCGGCAGTCCGCCCCAAAGCATATTGGACGATGTCCAAATGGTGAGTATACGCTATATATTGTACAACACAATATCAAATTCTTCACCTTCCAACATTAATAAACAACACACTCTTTCTATCTCCCTCCCTCTCTCTCACTACCACTCATGCTACGCGACAGGTGCTGGACGAGGAGGCTGAAGTGTTTGTGGTGAAAATGTGGCGTTTGCTCATCTACGAACTGGATGCCAAAAAGAGTGGCATCGCTGGCAAGTAGATGACGGACAGATGGCAGCGCATACAACGGAGACGTTGCTATAACTTTAAGTTACATTTGTAATGCCTAGATACTATAAAAAAGAAAAAAAAATACGAAAAAAAAAAAATTAAAACCAAACACTATTATTATAGAAAATGTACATACATAGGGCGTACGTCTGGAATAGTTTCTTTGACGAAACATCGCTTTAGCGTCAACAATTTTGTCACCTCGTGTTTTTAGCGGTAATTACAACAAACGAAAAGAAAACAATTTAAAATTAAATTCATATATTTGTAAATACACTCACAAACACTAAACACCCACTCACACGCAAACACCAATCAAACTGAATGAAAAGAAATTTGAATAACAATCGTGCTCCATGTACATTTCTATCTAAAAAGCGTTTTTTCCTTATCCATTTTTTTTTCTTTTATTTAATTTTTTTAAATTTAATTTAGCGCAAATAGCTTTCTGACTTGAAGAAATTTCTTTATATAAATTTAATAATAAAAAGAGACAGAAAACAAAAACAAACTATGAAAGGGAGCAAGGGGAACAGGGATAGAGCGCTTGCGCGACTGGGCTAAAAATAACGGAACCAATTCAGCGCTTTCTATTTTTTGGTATATACAAAAAAAGAAGTCAGTAGCAAATTATTGTTAGCCAATCGCTGCGTTGGTGTATGGGATAATTATATTTACAGTTTAGGTACATATAAACATTTTCGTCGTGTTGCTTACCGAACAGAAGCGGACGTTGCAAAATCGAGGCATTTCATTTTTTGTTTTGGGATATGTTGTAAAGCATTTATACTAAATTGAAATTGATACGTTTAAAATAAATATACTCTACAAATTTAAGAAAATTAATTATCGAAAAGCAGAATGAACCAAGGAAAAGCACAACGCGCACGTCAACAATAACACGTCGATGGGCTTGAGTCTACATCCTGGGTATTGTCAATTGTCATGCCATTCGAAGTATTCCCGTTAACGAAATATTCTGATGAAACAATCTGGAATGGGTTGTCAATATTATCACAAATGAATTTAAAAAGTGTCATAATAATGTCAATAAAAAGCCTACCTTCTCCACAATATCCTTGAACACATCACTAACGAACTGATCACATTTGGCCGATGTTTCGATGAAGAGCGCCCGATGTTTGCGCGCAAATTTACGGCCATCTTCCCGGTCAACGACACGATCCTTATCAATTTTGTTGCCAACCACAATAATGGCTATATTCGGATTATCACTGTAGCTGTCCAGCTCTGCCATCCATGCATCCAGTTTGACCAGTGATTCGCGATTTGTGATGTCATACACCAGTATGGCGCCCAGCGCCTTGCGATAGAAACTGGGTGTTAGACTGCGAAATCTTTCGGCGCCCGCTGTATCCCACAGTGCAACCTTGTAGTCAATGCCATCCACATTCATGATGGCACTCTTAAAGTCCATACCAATTGTGACGTCATGATTGTCATCAAACTTGTTCTCAACGAAACGACGTATCAGGCTGGAATATGCAACAAACGAAAAACAATAGATTCACAATAGATTTGAATGCGAAATAAACAATACACTTGTATGACTAAGTCATAGAAAACGCTTATCTCAGTTTAAGTGTTTACATGTTTACATGTGTGTATGCGTGCGCAGATGAAATACGCAATTGCAAATGTTAATTGGAATTGTGTTAAATTGCTTGCCTGGACTTTCCAACGCCGCTCTCTCCTATGATGAGCAGCTTTATTGCTCTGTCAGCCATGTTTGCGATTTGTCGGGTATATATTTTATTTTATTTTCTTCTTAATAGTTAGTTCATTTACGATTAAACTTAAACTATTAGCGGATTTGCTTGTGCTGTGCGGGGGTCGTGGGCTGGATTTATTGGCGTTGCCACAGTGTCGATTAACAGCAGCGCTCCACACACAACAGTGTTGAGCTATCTATATGCCAGTGCTGTAAAATGGCACAACTGCCATTTGTCAAAATCGTCGTTTGTTTTCATACGATAGCCCTCGTTCGATTGTCCGGCCCTAGTTCTTTCTTTTTTGACGTGACCAGCGAGAAAAATGGTTGGTACCAAGTTTCTGTGAATTATAATTCTTAAAAATAAATAACATCCGTGCATGAAATAACAAAAAAATGTATGAAACAAGAATCAAACTGTGCATACTTTTTGCGTCGAATATTATTTTTTGTGTGTACGCCTTAATAAACCAATTACTAAAGTATTCCACAAATTGTTTTTGTTCTTCTCGCATAGGTGAAGATCAAGTGCTCAGAATTGAGAACGAAGGACAAGAAGGAGCTCACCAAGCAATTGGATGAGCTCAAGAATGAGCTGCTCAATCTGCGTGTGGCTAAGGTCACCGGTGGAGCACCATCCAAGCTGTCCAAGATGTAAGTTGTTCATACCCTCTCCTACTATTCTTTTGAATGTTTGACTAATTTGTGTTCTTTTCCTTGAATTTTTTTTGCTTGCTTCATGCAGCCGCGTTGTCCGCAAGGCCATCGCACGCGTCTACATTGTGATGCACCAGAAGCAGAAGGAGAATCTGCGCAAGGTCTTCAAGAACAAGAAGTACAAGCCTTTGGATCTGCGCAAGAAGAAGACACGCTCCATGCGCAAGGCCCTGTCGCCACGCGATGCCAACCGCAAGACCCTCAAGGAAATCCGCAAGCGTTCCATCTTCCCACAACGCAAATATGCCCTTAAAGCATAGAAAACAAATTATTGAAACTAAATAACCAACAGGCAGCAATAATTTGTTGTTGCCAATTAGTGTGCGCTAAGAATTCTCCTGAAAACAAAAGCAAAAGGAATAAGAATAAAACCATTTTTTTTAAATGTGAACATCCATGTGTATATATATTGTGTTAAGAAACGATAAACCGCGTGTAAATGTGTGTGCCTAAGCTGTTAAAACTTGTTATGCTCCTTCACAAAGCGAAACGAGTATATTGATATTGTGCTAAGTCTTGCTGCCCGTCCGTATGAGCGCGCGCTTTTGAGGCTAGAGATTTGCCATTTGGAATATTGCTCTTATTTGAATATTACTCTTGTCGGATGTCTAGATCATCCCGATGCGCCCAGTAAGGGCGTGGTATATCAAGAATCTGTGTTATTTGTAGTGCTAAAGAATTGAAATTCGGTTAAAATTTTAAAGTCGGCTAAAACTGCATCGATTGAGTTCCTATTAAGATCCTATAACGTTATATAGTAATTTGTAAATATTCTGTAATATGTTAAACACTTCCGATGCTAGAGATTGATATAGTCAGGCCTCAAATTTAAAAATTTGATGTACCATTAACTTGTCCACTAATCAATTGCTAAAACCCGTAAGCATATACCGATAGAAGGGGGCGTGGCAAATCAAAAAATGGAGCCGGTATCGTTTTGATTGTAAATGAGTATTTTGCATCCGGAATCGCCCAAGAGCAACGGTCTTACTTGTCTGTCGTACCGGCATCTTTAGCAACACTGACACCGGGCTAGCTGGTCCTATGATTGGCTGAATCATATTAGTATATGTGTGTGTGTTCCTTTCCCGTAGTCCGCTTTGCGCTGTTAACACTATTTCCAGCAATTTCTGGGAGCTGTCGAAGATTTCACACAGAAACTGACACGAGCTCTGCCATTGCACACATCAAGCGATTTACAATTACAAAAATATTCCACATTACAAAAGTAAGTGATACAAAATTGCAATTGTAAGTATAGAGAGTAATGCCGTAAAGCCAAGTCAAAGTTATATATGCTGCAATTAGTGGCCAAGACACAAGGAGTGCTAATAAATTGCAACCATTTTGGATTAGGGTTAGAGTTGGGACATTTTCCTACTAAAACCTGATCAAACTTGCTTTTCTTCTCATAGACGTATCGCAGTTGGCTCTGCTTTGGTTTGCTTTCACTGGCTTTAGTAATGTAGGAAGCTGTAGTTGGCACAGGTCATTTATTCTCACAACTCGAATACATACGGATCACAACAATACATAAATAAAATAATTTATATATTTCCAATCTAAAGAATCGATCCCAACCAAAATGGCTGTGAACGTGCATTCGACTAATGTATCATCGCAGAATTGGTCGCGCCACGAGATGTTGTCCTGGGTCAACACTCAATTGAAGGCTGAATTCACTAAGATCGAAGAACTATGCACAGGTAAGCGCATTAGTCCTTGGCCAATTTGAATAGGTAGTCGGTATACATATACATATTGGACATTGAGGAAACTTCCGCTTGTGCTTTTTTTTTCTGCCAGGCGCTGCCTATTGCCAATTCATGGACATGCTGTTCCCGAATTCGGTTGCTCTTAAGCGCATCAAGTTTCGTGCCAATCAGGAGCATGAATTCGTGCACAATTTCAAGCTGCTGCAAGCCAGCTTCCAGAAGAAGTCTGTCCATAAGGAAATTCCGATTGAGCGTTTGATCAAGGGACGCTTTCAGGATAACTTTGAGTTCTTGCAATGGTTCCGCAAGTTCTTCAATGCCAACAATAAGGGAAAGGCATACAATGCCCTTGCCGCACGCGATGGCATGTCGATGGGCTTCGGTCCGAGCACTGCTAGCTATTCCAAGAATTCATCTCATAGCGCACGCTCAGTGTATAGCGCTCATCAGGTGCGCACTCGCACTTTCGTTAGCGATGCTCATTTGACATATCGCAAGGAGAAGGGTTCTATCGATGTGCCGGATAACAATATCGATATGCGTACCATTCTTCAAGAGCTGGAACGTGTCGAACAGGATCGCGATATGTATGCATCGAAATTGCGCGATGTCAAGGTCATTTGCGAAGAAAATCAAGAGACTAATCCAGAGGTCGTTCACAAAATACTTGGCATTATCAATGAGGATACTAGCATTGAGACGTTCCCATTTGATGACAAAACTTTCAATGCTGAATTGTTCGATCAACCCAACAATGGCAGGCAGTGCTAAGCTGCCCCCACACATACACAATTACTCACGCACCCAGTCTTTAGTACATACACTCGCATATGCATTCACATACTAGGGGGGTCATCGGTCGCTAATAGGTTCACACACTCATACTTTGGGAACTGCTACATATACAGGGAACATCTGATACTATTTTCAATAATTTGTTACCTTCTCTACATAACCACTACATAAAGAACAATGCTTGCAATGTTCGCGTTCAGTAGGTACTGTCTCAGTTGTTTGACATTACTGCCCCCCATAATAATTCCTAAACATCGTTAAGAGCCAATTTGAAATGGCCATAGGACATCTAACTACTGAACGCGTTCATTCGGCTAATGAGCAGTAATCCATCGTCTTTCAATTATTTATGTGGCCATCTCTAAGCACGCTCTTATTGGAGCTCGCGACAGTAGTGCTGCAATTTTAGCTTATTTCAGCTGCGTGTTTGGCTGGAGTTTCGGCTGCACGGTGCCATCACTATTTCGTCGAGGTAAATCTCTTGTTCTCAGCGCTAAACATTTGAATATTCTGCAGTGTTGTACATTTTAGCTATGTTATAGCTGTCAATATAGTTTTTTTCTCAAATAAATTAAAAATGCGTTATATTATCGTCAATATAATAATCTATGTATATATTTGTTTGTTTTGTTTACTTTGTTTTTCTTAAGCGCTCGAATATATAATTAATTAATTTAAAAAAATTGTATATTTTAATAAGTAGTTAATGTCGTATTGCAAAATTCGAATACAAAAGACTCATACTGAATATGTTTGGCACATTTGGTTAATACTATTCTTCTGAACAGCATGAAACAATGGCGTGCTGCGAATAACGCCCGATAATTCCTTTGAGTTTTTGCTTTGGTGATAGTTTTTACTTGGCATCGGCGATAACGGCTCACCCCAAAATTTGAGTAATGCGAATATCTTGTAGTAGGCGACCCTAAAAATAGAAACGTATGTATGTATGTAAGAAAAAAAAAAAAAAAAAAACATGGCTCGTTCTTTGTGCTGAGTCTTACCTGTAGTTACGATTGCTGGCCGCATAGATAATCGGATTGATGACGCTGGAGGCCCAGGCCATTACAGAGGCAATGATGTGCAGCCAGGGATATGAGGTGTTGCGCTCATCATCCACCACATTGGCCAGCATCAGGGGCAGGAAACAGATGAGGAAGCAAACGAATATGGTGACCATCATCACAGTGAGGCGATTATCCTCGCGCGCTTTGCGAGTGCTCACTGTAGCCACATATGATCCAGATGCTGATCCAGCCGCCTTGGCAGCGGCGGCTGAGGCGCCAATTTGAAAATTGTCATGACTGCGTATCTTCTTCCTCTGATGAAGTACAGTTATATAGATGCAGGAATAGGAGACAAGTATAACCACACAGGGCAGCAGGAAACCAATTATGAACAACGTCTTCTTAATCGATTTGCCATCCTTCTTCAGTATCGTACACGAAAACGTGGTCTCATCCAGGCCCATCTCGCCCCATATGCCCAGAATCGGTGGTAACTGAAATCAGCAGATGGCATATAGTATGGTGTATATACAGTTCAGTGTTTGTATATCTGTACTATTCACATATCTCTAGACTTGTCTGAAAATTACCAGCAACAGAAAGGAAACTGCCCAAACGAAGACCAGCTGCAGCGTTATTAGCCTCGGCTTATAAATCTGTGAATATCGGCTATGGCAGGCGATGAGTATATACCTGATAAATAGAAATTAAACTCGATTAGTTTATCTAAAATAGTTGTAAATCAATTCGAGTCCACATATATAGTTCCCATTCCTATTCGAGATCGAACCCCTACCTATTGAGTGTAATGCCCACCATGCTGAGTAAAGAGACCGCCACATTACCATAGAAGATGACGGGAAAGATCTTGCACAGCGTCGTCCCGAATGTCCAGCTCTGCAATGGATATATAAAAGGATTTAGTTTGGTTTCAATATCAACATAAAATTCGATGTTGACGCACCTCCTGAAAGAACCGAACGGCTGTCAGGGGCAGACTGAAAGAGCAGAATAATAGATCCGATATGCTCAGAGATATGACAAAGGCAGTTGTCGCATGCTCCCGTATCGTCGGACTCTTCAGAAGAGCCAGCAGTGTTATCAGATTGCCTGGAAATTGATTCGTAACGAATGTATTACAGCAAATGTATGAAAGATTGAGAAGAGAAAGAGAGAGAGAGAGTGACAGACGTAAATGGAGAAAAAGGGAGACAGATAGAGATGAAGAATTAGTAAAAAAAGCAATCATGAGAAAGAACGATTACGGTAAGGCGAGAGCAAGGGCAAGGGAAAGACAGAGAGGGATATACCTCTATATTGGTGAGGTGAGATAAAGAGGGAAAATGATAGAGAAAGAGGAAGGGAAAAAGATAGTAGGTGAAAGGCGGAAAGTGAGAGAATGAGACAACGAGATAAGAGAAGAAAGGGAAAGCAAAAGGTAGAGACTGAGAGAGAGACAAGAGAAAATCAGAAAAAAGACAGTTGAGAGAGAGAGAGGGCCAATTTACTGTCACTCTTCTTCTTCTCTGTACAGTTAAGTCGTTATAAACATTTTAGACATATAATTGAATATCTACATATACATATGTATATGTGCATATTATATATACCTTTCACATATTTATTTTATAGATTATACATATTTATGCTCTTTGACTAAGAAATCGTATTTTTACTATAGGGTGACCAAACAATAGTGCTATTACTTGCGATAACCATATACCAGAAACCAGTTAATTTATCGATGATGTTTATAATTTCAAATCTTCGATAGAAATGTGCTTTTGGATTATGAATCGTCTTGGGCCCGACTAATGAATGGAAATTCCGAACTGCCGACTCTGTTGACCGGCAGTAATTTATGCATCATCTCAGTCATCTAACGATAAGCATTTAGCATTATCATGTGAATGAATTGTCGTTCTCCGATTATAGTATCAAATGGCATAAATGTAACTTTCCGATACGACCAGAAATTACGTAATATCGTCGAGCACTCTTTGTTTTATAGCGATTTCCTTTGCTATGACTGCTTGTGCTCGCTCAATCAGTCAGTCGACCAAGCAATCAGTCAATCAATATATTTTATATTTTAAATGTAACTGACTGAGAAGCGTTCTCCAATCTCCACTTACCAAACACGCCGATGGTCACAAATACGCAGGCACAGATGGCAGCGAAAAGCGTTGCGGAATGCGGGTATATCGACTGAGTGGGGGCATCCATGCTGCAAAGCGGAACGCAAAAACACACATTTATTAATTATGATTATTATTATTATTTTATTATTAGCTAATTTTGGAATTTACAATAAAATGCGCTAATCA